GAACATGCGTCAGGTGTGGCTGGCAGAAAGAGCCCTAGCCGATCCCGCAGCTGTACCACCTAGACCAGTCAGGATGCATTTTGTCGAAGATGTGGCCCGGGATAGGGGCCGGAACAACCTGCCAACCGCAAATGAATTTGCGGCCGTGTTCGTAGGTGAAGGTGGTCTTCCTCCCAGACACATCAATCTGGTCATCTACGACACCAATCCAATCGACCAGCAACGGAGGACGCAATTCATACCAGCAGGTTAGTTAATTAATATTTAACACTTACAATATTTACCTTACACTAGGAATGAACTACTTCCTCTTCGACTTTTGTATACCTCACACACACACACACACACACACACACACACACACACACACTTCAACCCTTTTACTTGTGCAGTAATACTTATTACATTAGCAATTTCAGTTTGTTGTGTGATAAAACAAAAGCCATTACATTATTATACATTAAGTTGAATAAATTATTTTCATACAATTGTAGTGATAGTATGACAATAAGTTACATTAATCAAATCTATAGTTCCATTACTTCAATTCTTAATTCACTGTTCCCTTTTTCATTCAATTAATAACTAACATCACTTAGAATTATTAACATAGAACCTCAAAATTCATATTTTAGATTATTTTATAAATTACCTTTCTTAAAACATTATGTACCTGCTATACACATAACACAATCATAATAAATAAAGAATTCACAGTTAAATTACATCCCATCACATAGAATCATGGTACAGTAAATATCCGACCATACATACATTCTGGACATTCTTTTGAAATTTAATTTGTTATTTACTAATTAACTGGGGCAAAACCTACATACATAATAACACTTATTAAATTAACAGTGTACATTTATTGTGTTTGTGTATTATTTTCATAATTTTGTAGTGGTAGTGTTACAACAAGTAACATTAATCAAATCTTAAGTTACATTACTTCAATCCTTTGTGCTCTTATTTCAGAATTTGACTGATATCACTTACAGACATACACTATTAATATATTTTGTGGTTCTACAAAACATTATGTAGGTACTTGCTATACACACAACACAATAATAATAATAAAAAAATAGATATAAATAACTACTAAATAGAGTTAAGGAATTATAGTTTCGTATAGATTCATATTTTTCATTTCTCAGTATGTAATATACTTAATAACTAATAGCACTTACAATATTATAGCCGATATAATATTAGAGTTAATATTTTCAATACATTATTTCATACCTTTCTTTGGCGATTCTACAAATTGTGTATTCACAACACAAACGTATCTCAATAAACCAACTCTCAGCTACTACAGACCTTTGGTTTAACTTAAAGTTTATTATATTTCTCAAGGTTCGTGTCACTCGGATCCCATGTTGTATCCGCTGTTTTTCCCGTACGGCGAGGCCGGTTGGCATAACGGGATGTTGCAAGAGGGCCCTCGACGAAACAATGTCCGCAGTCGAAACACTATAAGAGAGTTCGCGTGCTACCGTTTGGGCATTCGATATGAGGGAAACAACGACACGAGGCACCAACTGTTCAGCTCAATACATCAAGGCCGGTCCTTGTTGCACATGTTTGTGTGCGACCACTACGTTCAGATGGAAACCAACAATCTGAACTACATACGTGAGAATCAGAGGGATCTCCTTACCGAAGCGTATCAAGGGCTCGTGGACCATGTAAACCAACACCTCAACATCGAACCTATGGCGGTCGGCCGTAGGATCATTTTGCCGTCGACGTTCGTGGGCAGCGACCGATACAACAAGATGTGTTATCAAGACGCTATGACCATGGTCCGTAGCAGTAGTATAAAATAGACAATTCAAACACACAATGGAGCTGATCCGCTGATACCTGCTGATCCGCTGATACCTGCTGAACCGCTGATCCCTGACGATCAGCTGTTCCTTGCTGATTCGCTGATCCCGCCGCCCGGTCGCGCACGTGCGCGAGATGTATATTATCACTTATCATTATTACCGTTATCACTTATCATTATTACCGTTATCAGTTATCACTTATCATATAATATATTATATCCGCGCTAGACGTGTACAATTATATGACGGGAAAAAAAACTACAAAATAATTGATCAGGGTTCGAACCCTCGACCCCCATCTTATATCGATGACGCTTTAACCCACTAGGCCACATGACCACTTATAGTCTTAGCGTTATTTTCACTCATTTAACTAGATAAATATAAAATATTATGTATAGTATACAAATTTATAACATAGTGTAATCATAATAATATCTTTCGGCACATAGTTAACATCAACCACCATAATTTACCGTTATAAGTATATACCTTTGTTGGTAATTTCTAAGAATTTTTAGTCCTTTGGCGGCATATACCCTTTTTATCATTGGATTTGACCGATTTCTATATAGGCGGTTTTTTTTTAAAGGATTATCGTTATATGGGTCATCCTTTGGCGGTATACACCGTCCTTTGGCGGCATATACCCTTTTTGTCATTGGATTTGACCGATTTCTATATAGGCGGGTTTTTTTTTAAAGGATTATCGTTATATGGGTCATCCTTTGGCGGTATACACCGTCCTTTGGCGGCATATACCTTTCCTTTTATATAAGAAAGTAACTCTCTTTGCTTTTACCGTTATAAGTATATACCTTTGGCGGCATATGCCCTTTTTGTCATTGGATTTGACCGATTTCTATATAGAAGGGTTTTTTTTAAAGGATTATCGTTATATGGGTCATCCTTTGGCGGTATACACCGTCCTTTGGCGGCATATACCTTTCCTTTTATATAAGAAAGTAACTCTCTTTGCTTTTACCGTTATAAGTATATACCTTTGTTGGTAATTTCTAAGAATTTTTAGTCCTTTGGCGGCATATGCCCTTTTTGTCATTGAATTTGACCGATTTCTATATATTCGGGTTTTTTTTTTTAAAGGATTATCGTTATATGGGTCATCCTTTGGCGGTATACACCGTCCTTTGGCGGCATATACCTTTCCTTTTATATAAGAAAGTAACTCTCTTTGCTTTTACCGTTATATGTGTGTGCCGATATTCTTTTTGTCATTGGTAATTTATTGAATGTGACCGATTTATATGGTGGATGCGGCTATTTCAAAGGATTATAGTCACCATATATGGTCAAAATCTCTGTTCACCCCCGCCATATTGCTTTTTTTTCTACACGATCCCCACCATTACCACCACCCCTAAAAATCCCTTAGTGTCCATGGTAAGAAGAGACTCTTGATTTTCCGTTTAGTCCGTGTACTACCTTTAACCGTTGTTCACTTATATATTTACTCTCTCAGTCTTTAAAATATTTTTACAAGTGTTTAAATTTATTTTTCGGTGTTTAAAATATTTTTACAAGTGTTTAAATTTATTTTTCGGTGTTTAAAATATTTTTACAAGTGTTTAAATTTATTTTTCGGTGTTTAAAATATTTTTACAAGTGTTTAAATTTATTTTTCGGTTTTTAAATTTATTTTTCTGTGTTTAAAAATAAGTATGGCTGGACCAGTCGCAAATATGGTCAATATTTGGAAAAAACCTTTTAAATATACACCTCCGTCACCGCCAGCTGAACTCGTCGTGTCCACAAGTTACACGATTGACTTTACCAACCGTAAGTTTGTGCATATCGGTATTGACCCTACTGAAAATTTTCAAGTCGTCATCCATTTAATAACATCATCTCGCTATGTTAAAATTTCGCCGGATTTCCTTAAACGTATATTTTCGCTGATGGGAAATATACTGTCTTTCATATTGGAACAACCCGAAAAATATAAGCGTACGTTATTTTTGGAAACGGAAATTAATAAGCTATCTAGTATGATGTACAGCGGTGAAAACGTACTAGTGATAGAATCGAAAAATCATGAAGGGTGTAGAATACTATTAAATCGATCGGACCTTATTCAACTTCAGCGCTTTTTAACCTCGCTCCTAGGTGGTACCATAGATGCACCCGATCTCCTATCTAAAATATGTTTCCGTATCCCTTCCTTCTTCTCCAGAAATCACGCACTCTTCCAAGTTCCAACTCACAATACATTATACGGACATAATCACCCCTTGCACAGAATGCTTCGTAATCTGAATAATCTTAATTTTGATTTTAATAAGTAATTAAATAATATCATTTATAAATATGTTGTATCATAGTTATACATTACTAAATTAAGGTATTACCACTTAGTTTATATTATGTTGTGTTTTTCCATATGTTCTAATTTTGTGTGAATTTGTATTATATTATTGTTATATCTATTAATTTTAAACTTAATGTGTTAATTTAGAATTGCCGTTTGGCGTTTATATATTATAAATAAATAAATAAATAAATAAATACCTGGAATGGTGCATATTTGAAACAGTTACACGAAAATTGACCATCACACGACCAGTCGTCTTAAGGCAGTTTAAGACTATTGGTAATTATATAGACCAGGAATTCACCAATGTGGAATCGCCGCCAAAAACAAACGAGGAAATGATCGTTTTTATTAAAAATTTAAGCGATGATAAAATTATTGGATCCGCTCCTAAAGAAGAAATTAATTTCATCAGTCAGCTCAAAATAATTGCAACTAATCAATTAGCCGAACATTGGGCGCGACGTTGGAACGGAGGAAATTCACCAGGGGTAAGTCTTAAATTCGCTCGTAAAAAATACAATACATATTTTTATTTTTTTTTTAGTTATTCATTGAACCCGGGGCATACTCGAGTATGTTTCCGTGCTATGATGAAGATGATTATTCACAGTCAAGGGTAATTTATAATTAAAATGTTTAAATATTAAATGTTATTAAATGTTATTATTGATAGGCAGCTGACGATGATAGGGCGATCAGAGAATGTTTAAAGGGGATTAACCCTACACAGGCGAACCCGAACACTAAGCCAAAGGTAATATACACTTCATATAATTATTATTATTTAAATATTTAATACAAGTTTATTTTAGTCGCAGAATGTAGAAATGGATCCTCCGATGTTACCACCGAGCATATTCGGCATTCACGAAGATCCCATTACATACGCGACACTCAGAGTCAGACCATCATATGTAATTTATATAATCATATTTATAAAAACATTATTTTATTATAAATTTTTTTTCAGCCGCTAGATCATATTGACGGCCCACTTGACGATATTTCTAATCAACAATCGGTCGACGTAAACGATGGAAACGACGTAAACGACGGACCGGATTTTTTCGATCGAGACGTACATTCACAGTCTCAATTCACCACCCCCGCATCATGTGATCGAGCAACTTACCCTCTTCACCCCACGCCGTCACGTAAACTGAAACGAAAACTACCACAATCACCCGCAAGTCCACAACCATTCGATGTAAATGACGGTCCGGATTTTTTCATTCCAATAAGTACATCAACGCCGATTCAACCAACTTACACCCAACACCCAGCACCAGTACGCGATGTTAGACGAAGATTATTTTAATACTTGTAGGAAGTAAAATAATTTTTATGTAAAATAATTTTTGTGTAAAATAAAAAAACAAGCGTGATACTTAAAACAAGTTTTTTCATTTATTAGAAAATAAGGTACAAAATATTTACAAGGTATAAAATAATTACAAGGTATAAAATATTTACAAGGTATAAAAAAAATATTTACAAGGTATAAAAATAATTACAAGGTTTACAATTTTCTGACATCGCCACTAAACGGGTTATAAGTTATAATCTGGTCATGTAGTATTAAACAATATGCTGCAGTTTTTTCTGGAATAATTGTATCCGTTTCAAATTCAATACGTAGATCTATGGTCGACGACTTCACATTATCGTTTTGATGTGATAAATCAACTACGACAATTGGAACGTAGTTTTGAAAAATGTGTTTTGATAATAATGGCTCGCAATAATCTCGCTCATAATACGATTTTTGAAAGTCTGTATAGGCCTTATACAAAATACTAGTTGTATTATTTTTAAAATCTGCACGAAAGTCTTCGTACGGATACACTTCAGAATTTAAGTGGACCTTAAGGTTTTTTAGTTGACAGTGATCGAATCGCCCCGCATCGTTTTCAATATTTTTTTTTCGATCTGTTTGTAACCCAAACAGTGCAAATCTCGGTTTTTCTAGCAGGCTACTAGACTTTACCGTCCACGAATGAGAATTATTTCCAGGAAGTATCGGATATTCGCACAGGTCCCAAGTTCTGAACGCACACGATAGTGTTCTATGTGAATCCATTACTTTTATCAGTCTTAATTTTTCTTTATCACTGACTTTGATAATAGGCATCTTCCAAGTCACCTTAGTAAGTTCAATTTTAATTTTTTTATTTTTATCAACGGCTGCAGTCGCACCCGCACCAACAACGTGTATCGCATCAAGATCGCTAGATGCGCGATTTAAAATCAGTTGGTGATTACAATTAAGTAATATTTTTTTATAGTCTTCACAAAATCCGAATAAATGTTTTAGAGGTATACACCCGGTAAATACATCGTTGGACATAAAATTTTTATTATCTTCAGTATCCATTTGTGAATCCCAGGCCGCGTTTTCTAGTGCATTCAAGTCGTTTGGAGTATACGAACAGTATGCTTTCAAACAAGACGAAACTCCAGGTGATTTTAATTTCTGTATTTCTACTCCGTTTATTTCATATCGCATTTCAGAGAATAAAAATGCCAATCCATTATTTGAAAAACGTACGTCTCCAACAGCATCGGTAGGTTTGATCACTTTACCCTCGATGTAAATATAGCTTTCGCACGGTAAAGTGTACGAGTCCATATTCAAAACACTTATCCTGATTTCATCGTTATTTGATAAAGACATGTTTGAGTACGGAGTGAATGAATGATAATTCATTTGCGTTATTTTACACTCATCGACATAGTCGGCTGTGACGTCTAAATACGTGTCATCCATCATTGCAACGAACGGAGAAAATTTAAATTATTTTTAGTGAGCTTGGACTTGTTTTTTTTCAGTTTAGAAATAGTTTTTTTCGATTTTGACATAGATGTTGACTTCTTAACGGCAGGCGGTAAACTGACAGGTTTTTTGATTATACTGGTTTTTATATTAAATTTGAGCGCCATATCTACGCGTTATTTGTAAACGAACTGTTATCGGTTCACTGCGCAAATTTATCAGGCAATCGTTTTGGTCTTTTAGCACAATATTTACTCTGGTTACTGATCTCGTGTTGAGACCGTAGAAAACCAGATGTCTAGGTACTTCAACGATTTTATACCCAGCAGGCACAGACGGATAAAGCTCGTGTATAGTCTGACTCGGTGCTCCGTCACAGAATGAGCCAGTAATTAAGTTGCACTCTACTTTTATACAGTTTATTTTCATGATGTTGACGATATTTTCAGACTCGTGAGTGGCACCAGTAGTGTATAGAACATTTCGAAAGCCTAGCAATTTCGCTATACTATTCTCGACACCCAAGTCCACTTCATGACTACACGATATACTGCACTTTAATGTCTTGCTGTTTGCTTTTAACTCGAAAAAATTGACAAAATCAGGCATCATGTTTTGTATAATAGTCTCTAAATGAACCAATTCGTAAGTGCCTGTAGGTATAATTACGTTTTCATTTTCATTTAGAATATCACGAAACCCGATAGTATTACACCCAGGTTCGATGTTTGGTATCGAATTATTTGTCTGTAAGCTCAAAAGACATATTTGTGCTGTGCTTCCTACTTCCAACGGTGGAAAAATGTCACATGACAATTCACTCGAGTTCCCGTTCAATGTTATCGTGTACATGATAAAAATTTTAAGCACAAGTGCCCACAGTTTGTAGTATTATATTTCTGTTCTCTGCTATAATTGAAATTGATGTTACACCCGTGAAAATATTTTTGTACTTCTAATGGAGGTGGTAGATTTCCAAAACTGTCATAATATTGAACTTGATTTCCTATTTTTTTGTACGCTACCCAGTGAGTACCTGTACCGTGTTCAGAGTCCAAGTTAACAATCGCTGATTCTATTCGTTTACGACGTACGGGTAACCTGTCTCTAGTAAATACACCGATGAAATGAGGTATTTTCATTAAACGAGCGATTTTTATAAGTTCGTAATCGTACAGTGCTCTTCTGGGTAACGTAGATATTAGTTTTTTTTTCGGTTTTGAACCCCCACCACTTTTAAATGGTGTAGCAGCAGACCCGATTTTGTACGAGTTGCCTTTATACGGTGTGAGATATAACCCTCCACCTAAATGCGATGGCGTGCTCCTTTTAAATTCATTAGCCAACTTAACAACGTTGGCAACACCACCAGTCAGTGCTCCAAGTGCTGACAAACCGGCAAAAATCGGTATGAGCGGCAACACCCCACCCTTTTTTGGAATTGATATAATCCTTGGAACTTTAGTTTTTCTTTTTTTGAATGTTTTTCGTGCGACGGTTAGACATTTTTTACTTAACTTCATCAGGTTCTTTTCATCGATATTTTTCTTTAAAGCGTTTTTAGCTGCTTTGATGGCTGCTTTAAACCCACATCCAGCCCCGATTTTACGTTTTGCTTTCATGGCGGTTGTCACGCCCCAAGCTACAGCTTTTTCTTTTAAATTTGAATCTTTAGCCTTAAACCTATCCCAGGCTCGCTGCTCTAATATATAATCGGCTTTGTTACGATCTGCGAAAGAATTACTATTTTCATACGCAATGTCGTGGTCTCTACAAGCAGAATCCAGAAGGTTTATACCTTTGTCACCATGAGCTATCCGTTTTTTTAAATTTGTACCAGGACCACAATATTGATAACCTAAACAGAGAAATATTATTATTATTATTACTAATATACGCATATTATTATGATCTCACCAGGTACGTGAAGCTCGATTGGTAATTTGTTTATAAGCGTGTTGATAAGACCAGCGCCTTTATTGTTGTTCCTTCTTCGAGCGAGTGACATCGTGTACTGATCAAGTTCACAGTATTACAGAGATATTTATTTAAAAATGAAATTCCTTAAACAAGATATACAACTCACAGTTGAAAACGTGGACCCACCTACTTCGTATAAAAAACAAAGACATGGGGTGCTCCTACCTAATACGATAAGATCACTTATCGTGGGACCTTCAGGTTGTGGGAAAACTAATTTAATATACACATTACTAACACACATAAACGGTATACGATTTCACAACGTTTACATATATTCAAAAACATTGGATCAACCAAAGTATAAATTATTGAGTGATATTTTATCAGACATTGCTGGAATACAATTATTTACGTTCTACGAAAACGAACATGTTATTGAACCTGGAAAAGCTTTACCAAACTCTGTGTTTATTTTCGACGATATTATTACTGAAAACCAAAAGATTGCAAGAACTTACTTTTCCAGAGGTCGGCATAATTTAATAGATGTTTTCTATTTAGCTCAGAGTTATTCAAAAGTACCTAAGCAACTTTTGCGTGACAACGCTAATTTTATTGTACTGTTTAAACAAGACGAGACAAATTTAAAACATGTTTACATGGAACATTGCTCTGGTGATATGTCATATCCAGAGTTTAAAGATTTTTGTACTTCATGCTGGCGTAAAGGGAGATTTGAGTTTATCGTCATAAACAAAGACAGTGAACGCGACAATGGGCGATATCGTCACGGATTCGATACGTTCGTCGTTATATAAACTAATGTTTTTACTGAAAACACTTCATTCGCAAATATGTCGTCTAACAACGAAGTACTCGGAGAATTAATCAAAGCCAAAGAAAATATTAAACGCAAGTATACTGCATTAAAACACGGAAAAGCTGATATTCATTCAATAGTAACAGAAACATTAAAACCAATTATCAATCCATTAAACGAGATTCAAAAGTCGACATCGCAACCTCAGGAGATAACTGTTCAAAATATCGAAAAAAATAATACAGAAAATTCCAGAGTTTTTAAAATAAACGAGTTGTTGGATTCGTACAGCATAGACAAAACATATGGTCCAAAATTGCAATCAAACGGAGACGCATATTTGGGTAAAAAAGAAATTAAACTTAACGGAAATACATTAATTATTGAAGATACATCATACCCGTTGACACAAGGACTTGTTAGTTTAATAATTTCGAAAACTCCGAAAATCTATACCGCAGACGATCTAAACACATATAAACGCATATTAATCCAAACATCGGCACATTTGACATCAGACGAGAAAAAAATTAAAAAAGGTGGAAATAAATTCATCGACATAATCAAACCATTGTTCCCGTCTGGTAGTGGGTTATCTGTGAAATTACAAAATAAAAGTTTAGTATACTGGAATGATCCTAATGAGTTAGTCGAACGTTTACGACTACTTTTAGCTTCTCAAGCTGCTGGTAATACAGGGCTTTCCAACGAAATACTTTCAATTTACGAAGAATTGTATGAAGCGGGTTTGATAAAACGAATTCCAAATGTCTAAACGTGATATCGCTCTCGAACTACACAA